CGCATGGAGCGCTTGGGAAATGGACCCTCCTTCAGTTCGTCCAGTAAGCCGAGCATCTCCAGTGCCCGCCTGCTCAGGACTCAGCGGGGTGGTCAAAGAGGCAGCAGCAGACAGTTGGGTTTTGCAAAAAGATGCTACAGTTTTTACAACACTGCATTTTGAAAGTAACTTAAAGTAAGTGACTTTTGCAAAATTGGGTCATTTTCTCATTGAAAGCTTAAGTTTTTATTTTAGGAAGGTTGGAATGACACGAACTTACCTTTAGCAAAAATCCTCTTTAATCTAACATCAGTCTATTCAAAACTGTGTAGCTGTGCACAGCACGAAGCAACGTTAAGTCACCACTGACTGTGTAATTACTACTCGGCAGGATGCTGTACACTTGGAATCCTGTTATTTTGAAACCTGTTTTTTCCTAGTACCTGTGTCCCTGACTAAGGTGATTTTATATACTGTGTTTCCCTCTGCAGAGGTTCCCTTCCAGCATCCAACCAAGCCCAGGGATGGGCACCCAGCGAATATTCGATAAATGCTGCTGAATGGAGACAATGAGGGTTGCACGGGTGGGACTCAATATGGGGCAGCATGTGCAGCTCAAGCACACACACGCACACATGCACGCTCCAACACACGCACACACACCCATACAATCACACACACAGATGCACACACTCATGTGTATACACACACATGCACACTCTCACAAACACACGTGCATACACACGCACACAGGCATGCTCCAAGACACGTTCACTCGCACACACAGATGAACACACTCATGCATGTACACACATATGCACCCACATGCACAACCACAAATGTGCACACACACATGCACTCACATGCTCACACACATGCACATTCTCAGGCATGTACACATGCACACACACTCATACATGCACACACATACACATACAGGCATACATGCACACACACATGCACATTCTCACACACACATTCATGCACACACATGTGCACACTCACATGCACATGATGTGCATGCACACACACACTCAGGCATGTACACACATATATCCAAACACACACACGTGCACTTGCACAAACACACACATGCACACACAGAGTCACACACATGTACACACATACATACAGAATGCTACACAGCTAGTCTCTGCAGACCCAGACACGCAATGTGCTCATGAAACTGCGGCCATGAGAAATCTCACAGTTTCACTGTCCTTGAACACTTCACGGATGCACCTCAGGTACACATAAAAGCATCTTTGAAGTGGGGCTGTTAGAACTAAAGTGTGCTGTGGACTATTTATTACCTGACAAAGCCAAATAAATTATTCATCCACAAGAAAAGCCACCAGGAGTTAGCCTGTGGAAAATGGAAAACAGCCCCAGGTCATCTCCTTTGGAAAGACAGAGTCTGCAGTGTGTGAGGATTCTTATGTCTGTGGTGGGAGGGATCAGAGGAGGAGGGGAAGCTCAGGGGAAGAAATGGGGCGTTAAGACCAAAAAGTGCTGATTTAACTAAATCACCTGCAATCTGTTTAAAACTACAAAATCTCTGCTTTTCTAGCTATGGGTTCTTGACCTAGCAAAACTCAAAGTCTGATTCTGATTTGGTCTAGATTTATTTTGCTAGGTTATATATTTGATACCAAACTCATATTTTATGGTTAAAACATTAAAAACAAACAAACAAACAAACAAACAAA